GGGTCTGCCTGGATCGGTCTGGGTCTGTCTCTCCCTTACCTGCTCCCCAGCAGCTCAGTTAGGCAGAGCCGGGGATCTGCTGTTAGGATGCACAGGAAATTCTGGTGAGTTGGCTTTCTGTGCATGTCTGTGCAGTTACATGTGGAGAAGGAACTGGGATAGACACAAGTAAGGGCAGAGGGTCTCCTTACTGGGGAGAAGTGAGCAGTCAGTGCACGCTCTGTGTTGGCAAAGAACATGATGCATTAGGTTTGAATATGATTGACAAATTCCGAGACAAATTCTTTGTGCTTTAATCAGTTAGAAGGTTTGTGCATAGTTTTAATTAACCACTAAAGGCAACAGGGTTACATTCTTCCCTGTGGCAGACCTGGTGGACTGAAGATCACAGGATGCCAGTTTTCTGACAAAACCATTTCGTATCTGATTCCTGACACATGGGGTGGGGGTGGTGGGTGTAGGAGACCAGAGAGGAAAATGAATGCAGTTATCAGTCCGTGGTATTGGAAATGAAATTTACCCTGGAGATCAGAGCTGAGCTCTAAGATGCAGTACATTTACTCGGAATTGGTTTATCAGCCACCAAGATTGTTTGTTTTTTTTTTGTGTGTGCAACGGGAACTAAATCCCGCTGAAATCTCTTCCCTCTGGTGAAAATCTTTTTCCCGACCGAGAATTGCCTGTGGGCGTAGAATAACAATGTAAAACTAGCTGCCATCTGAAATTGTGAGAACTGTCAAAACAGGGCTCGTATGACAGGCTGAGGTGTTGCCACAACAGTCTGATTTTCCTCCAAAGCCCTGTTATTTCGAGTTAATGTGCAGCAGTGTTCGAACAGATGCGAGCCTTTGCTGGAAGCCTTCTCTCTGCCTCCGTGCAAGAGGTTAGTGGCTCACCGCGCCGGCTGGCTGGAGCTCCTCTGCTCTCGCATGGACAGTAGGTGGTACACGGGCTCCGGCCCTGTGATACCAGGCAGTTGTCACATCGTGTAGGGAGCAGCTGGTGAGCTGGCGCCCCCCCTGCTGGCACGGCTGCCCGAGGCTTTTCAGAGGGACGCCCCCCCCTCCTCTGAGCTCAGCGTTCCTGCCTGCTGCTGTCAGATCCTTCCCGCCACCACCTTAGGGAATGAGGAACGATGGGTACAAGGGCTCCTGGGTCTCGCCTTTCCCGAAATGTTATTTTTGGATTCGGAGCTGTTTTGCGACGCACCATGTAAACAAGGCTGTGGGGAGGGGACATGAAATCGGCGGCCGATCCGTTCAGCTTGGTACCAAGGAGCCCCGGGTTTGCTGATAAGCAGAGATCTGGCGGCCTCGTGCTTTTTTTAAATGGCAAGGAAATTCCATCTCATCTTCCTGAGTCCTCCTCATAATCTCTTCTGGGGGAATTGCAGTGCCGGGCTGGCCACACTGATAGCACCACTCGCAGCGATACGCCTGCAAAATAAACCGAGCTCTGCTGCTGGGAGCAGGGCAAGCGCTGGACACAGGCGGCACCCTGAGTGAGCGAGGCCTTGTTGCTTTTGTTCTGAGCGTGAGCTGCACATTGCACCTGGTAAACAAGGATGATTGACACACACGGACCCGAGTTTTCAGCCTAGACGCCGTAATTCTTAAGAGCAAATGAGCAAAAACATTT